TATATATATATATATATATATATATATATATATGGGGCAAATCAATTTAGATTTAGAGAAAAAACAAACGCATTGTAAAAGAAAAGGGATTCTATTTGATTGAATTTGAAAGACTCAAGACTGTCGAGGTGATGAAGTTTCACTTTAACCTGATAAAGGTTGTTCTCAAGTTGTCATCGAAGCAATTTCCTCTTTGTATTCAGATCCTTCACAATAGATAGGATGGTATAGAACTCAACTAAAGAGAATTCTTCTTGATCAATTGAGAAATAGACAAATGATTTTTAGTGATTTGAGGTGCTACACGAATATCATCGAGTTTTAAGGGTGAGGATTGTGTGGATTAATGATTAAGTTGTTATCAGTATTAAAAATAGGTAAGCCATTTCCATTTCCAACTATCATGTTATTTATACCTTTCATCTATGTTTTGTGTTGGATATTGGCTACATTCTAAGCGATATAGGTTGTTGTTCCACTATCGATATGATGTACCACATTTGTTCACTATTGTAGCCCTTGAATAAAAGAGAGATTGGTAATCATTAATCAAGTCTTTTTTTATGAAACGAAAGAGCTTTGTGGCACTGTATACAGGGTGATTGCACACTTGAAAATAGATGATTTGGCTTCCTCTTCCTCTTCCTCTTCCTCTACCTCTACCTCCTCTTCCATGCCCACAAGCTAAAAGAACGTCATGTTGAGTATTGATGTTGCTGATTTCCATAATGATTGGTACCAAAAAGATTGAGAGATCTTCTAAACTGGGTAGTAAGATTGGCACTTGGCAGACCAGCAACAATGTCAGAGTTGAATTGCTTTAGCCTCATTTATTGGCTTTGCTACATGAATTGGATCTCCTATAGTGTTACTTGATCATGTCGTGAGTTAAGTCAACAACAATAGTGTCATAGTCATCACCTGGTCCGCCCAAGATATACATAATTAGTTCATCATCTCAAATAAGTTTACAAGTAGCAGATAGACTTTCTTCTAAGTTTTCTCATCTTAAGCATGTAACCATGAATAGAGAGACTACCCTTTTATAAAGGATTCCTGAAAATGAAGTTGTAGTGTTCTTGCCTTGCTGCTTGAAGCGAACATATCCACAAGAGTATTCCATACATCAAGGGATGTCTGTAACGCCCATAAATCTATAACTCCTAGTGTTAATATATATATTTATATACTTATGTTACATTTATTGAGGAATCAGATTTATTAAGAAGGATTTTAGTATTGTTTTGGCGTTGTGGTTCAACTCGATCAAAATCGAAAAAGAGGTCCAAAACAGTGGATCATGTGGTTTTCCACGTGGCCAAACCTGCGGCTGAAGCCACAAAAATCACTGTTCGGCTTCCATCTTTGGGGCACAAGCAACTTTCACCATGGCTTTAGCCACAAGAAAAGTCGCAGGGTTGATCTAATCGGCTTAAATGCCTAACTTTGAGCTAGGGTTCTCACTTTTCCATGGCATTCGCCTTCTCTCCCTCTAAATCAGATATATCGGCATTTAAAGTGTTCTTGGAAGGTTTTCGAGCTAGGATTTCAAGCTTAGGTCAAGTGCCTAGTTCATCTTCTCCATCTAGAAGTCTCAACATTAATTAATCCTATATGTTGGGTAAATATCGTTTAAAGGTATGGAACTTATGGATCTGCCTTACTTATGGTTTTTGAATATGTTATCATTATTAATTGTTGATGAATCTCGTGCTACTAATCCCTGGAACTAGAGCAATTGTTTGGTCATCAACGTAAGTGATGCTTGTTAGATTTCCTAAGTATGCATACTTTATCCTTGGTGTCATGTTGCATTGGATCCATATGCATTGTTCATTCTTATGTCAAGAAAGGAGTTTTGATGTCACTAGTTTGGGAGAAGGAGGATTTTTGTGTTCTCGCCGCCTTAGAGCCTTTGATATTAGATAAGTGAGGAGCTTTGAGGTTCTCAACTTGTAACTTTGGGGACCAACTAAGTAAGGAGTTTTGAGGTTCTTACCTTAGCCCCAAGTAGAGCGATTTAGAAGCACAAGTGGGTTAACATTTTTTGAGAGCTTGTACTTTTGAAGATAGCAAGTTTTGGTGATTGATTTAACCCCTAGCTTAAATCTAGTAGAAGTCTTTAATACTCTGATAGCGTAACTTTATTTTTGTGATGTCTTGTAAACATTAATGTCTTTCTTTTGGGTAAATCCTCTCATGTTGTATTTATAACCGGTATTTACCCAAGTTCAAATTAGTTGCTATTTTTAAAATTTAGGGGTGTTACAATTTGAAACATATATCGAACAACATGACCAAACATGGCCTCAGGAATGGAATTGAGTAACCAACTTAGAATGGTTTGATTTGTTCCGAGTCTAGACGGTAAAAGCATGCTTGTTTGTGGGTGATTCACTTGCAACTAGGCTAAGAAACTTGGATGGACACACTTTGAACATAACCATCATGATCGTAGGGTCTAAGAGAAGGAAAAACTTGTGATTTCCAGAAAATATAATTGGTTATGTCAAGCTTAATAGTGATGGGAGGTAAATACGAAGAAGAAAACAATCTTATATTTTTGGTTGTTACAAAAGCAGGGAACAATTCCTAAAAGGTGTGTGTGGGCGGAATTGTACAAAAGGACAACAAATTCTGTTGTTGTTGAATCATTTTTGTCTGATGATTTCACAATACTTGTTATCAGCTATCAATGATTTGTTGGTGATTTGGCATTCTATGTTATCGAACATGTTTCCATCATTTATTTTAAAAATAAAATACGTTAAATTATTTTTATTTTTATTTTTATTTATTTTAAAAGGGACACTAATGAGATTTGATTTTCAAATCCTATGCACCTTTTGTTCGTAACTCTTAATTTAGTGATTTGATATATCACTTAATGCTTTTGAAATTGAAGAGTTTTAAAGTTTGGTGTTTGGAATTGTTTATAAAAACAACTTATTGACTTATTTCGGTGTGACACCGGTAATAAGCACTTTTGAGTGTTTGGATAAACAGCTTATACCGGTGCCAAACCAGTAATAAGAAGTTTTTGAAGAAGTTAAATCATTCTAACTTATAATAAGTCGATAAGAACTTTTGTAGAAAATCATAAGTTGTTTTAAATAAACAATCTCAAACACCCCTAAATGTCGTGTAAGATATTATCCTATAGATCATAGATGAACTATACTATAACTATAGTAATAGTTAGTAGGCAAATCAAATGAACACCATTTAGCCCAAAACATAATTTTGGTGGACCATACCCAAAATACATCTTGTATGGGAAATTGAACACCTAGATTGGTCTTCAAACCATTTTTTTTTCTCGAGTTTACCTAAATGTCACAACTTCTATAATATCCAAATTCGCAATATTATAAACCTAACTAAAAGGCAAAAAAAAAAAAAAATCAATTTCAACACAGATCAACAATTGCGACAGTATACTGGTTGAATTTGATTATTTTTTTTGTCTTTTAGCTAATATTGCGAACCTAACTAATATTACAGACTTGCATATTACAGAAGTAGACATTTAGATAAACTGGAGAAAAAATGATTAGGAAATCAATTTAGATCAAAAGCATCACCAACAGTTTCTCTAAAATGGAGACAAGTTTTTTTAGAGTTCTTTTCGACTCCGATAGATTATCCAAAATAGAGAAAGTGATAGAACGAATGCAAGTTTTTACAAATCTAAATACATCCCCAAAAACTTTTTTTTTTTGTTATTCTCTTGGTAAATCACCTCCAACCAAGTAATACAATAATTTGAAAAAAAAAAAAAGAGGGAAATGACTTTTTTTTTAATTAACCTGGATCGCTATGCGAGCCGACTAATCTCAGAACGACCATCTGCTTTATAGATAGCCCGGAGTCATCGCAATTGAATCTTCATGGCCACAAGTGGATTTTTATTCCTCCTTGGATTTGAACCTGAGACCTCCTGGTACTTTTGATCTTTGGAGCCAAATTTGGGTGGCGGATGAGTAGGCCAGCATGAAAGTTTCAATTCAAGCACCACCCTTTTGGTTGGGAAGTAACTTTTTTCTCCAAGATGTGGAAATTTCCAAAATAGATGAACCATTTGAGTTGGAATGTAATTTTCTTTTTAGAGAATTGTGAATTTGATTGTCGTACGCAACTCTTGCCACACAATCAACATAATGGGCAAGGTCGTGCATCTCGAATGGAGCACATGAAACAGAGAGTTAGGCGACCAGTCGCAACCGTGGTCGTGTGTACCTATGATTTGCACGAGTTTATTCTGTTTTGGCTCCTACACCCTAGAAGAATTAACACAATAAGAGTGTAATACAAGTGTGTTATCAACATAAATCGAGGGTTTTGAGATGCTTTTGTATGTGCAATTACGAGGTCACTAATATGCCTTAACTTAAACCACCGATCGTCACAAAATCTAAGACGCTTCTGAATAAAAGAAACTTAAGCCTACAATCAAGGATAATTAAGTAAGAAACTTCTGAATCATAATTAATTTGGATGTAGCATACATTCTCCTTTAAACCACCACATGTACATTTGCAATGAAAGTTGAGGTCTAAAATTCGATGATTGCTCTACAAAGATTATAGTTTTGTAAAATGAACACTTGAATGTTTTCATGAAGAGATAATGTTGTAAAATAAGCACTTAAATGGTTTGATGAAGATACGTTCTCACCAACAATAGATGCTGCTGACCCAGTAAGAGCGAAGAGGCTTACTTACCCGGTCAAAATATAAGACACTTGGTTTGATCCATCAGATCCTAATGAAGATCGAACATACGGCCAGAGGGGGGGGGGGGGGGGGGGGGGGGGGGGGACCGAAGGAGCCCCAAGACATAATATTTTTTTGTCAACTGTTAAACAAAGGGTCTTTGGTGGAGGTGGACGGAATAACTTGATTTTACTCGATTTCTCTTAATGTGTGATCCTATTTATCCATCACGACACAGAAAATACAAGAAAATCGAGTTCTACTTAAACAAAACAGGTGTGAAAGTGCCACAAATAACCTATCAAAGGCATGGAGCTATCTGGATGCAATTAATTTAAGAACAATCTCCACTTCTCAAGCTTTGTAGCAGCTTCAAGTACCCAAGATACTCAGGTTTAATGTACCTACACACACACATATATATATATATTTATTACCAAAATACACACTTAGATTACTACGTTCAACCACCGTAAGAAATTATCAGAATCTATGTCAGAATTCACTTTTTTTCGATTATGCCTCTTCTATTTTACATAAATGATCAAAAACCCTATCATTTTAGGTAATTTTCCGTTATTATCTAGCTTATCACCTAATCTGTATCAAACGTGGCTATCAGTTAACAGCTGGCTTCCCAGCCATATTGCCATACTGAGCCTTTGTGATTAACTGATTATTGAAGGGTATCTCTGACAACTTAACTAATAAAGAGACACTTTTCTGAAACTGCTTGGGCAGTCGGTTGCAATTTTCTTGGGGACTGAAAATGAGCCAAGGTCACTTCTATTACAAGAGAAATATAACAAGATTTAGCTGCATTTGTGATTAATGATAGAGAAGCTGAGTATGCAAAACAGATAATAGGTTGTCCTATTGGAATGCAACTCTTCAAGAAAAAGAAATTGGGGTGTAAAAGGAAGAGGGAAAAAAAATTGTACCCATGCCGGAAAAGGAAATCAATGATGACAAGATTGCAATTTGCTTTGAAGAACTGTGTACTTCGGATGGCATCTGCAACAAGTGTTATAGGGAGTAGTTTGAAGCTCCCCACTTCTCCGTCTGTAATTCACAGCATCATTTAAAAGTTTTAAGCTTTAAGATGACAATCAGTCGTCCACGCTATGGACTAAGTTGACCCTTCCCAATGCACATTGGGCAGATTGGTGGCTAAAAGAGTTTAAAAGCTTACCCTGATTGCTGGGAATGAAACTTTCAGGGAGCTTCAGATCATAGCAAAATAAAACATCTCTCTTGAATCTATAACCATCAATGTCCATGTAAGAGACAGCGCCAACTGGTATAGCTCTGTGTGAACAAATGTTTTATGCCAATCAACGTTGCAAACAGCTAAAAAAATAAGCGTTGCACTTTGAGGACCACACATGTAATAAATCCATGAACTTTTAGGGGCAGGTTCAAATGAGAACCTTGTACATTTTGAGAACCTCGAACCAACTATTCATATTTTATTCATGACGAAGGACATGATAGACATTTATGATGAAAATAGTTGGTTTTCAGATTCTCAAAATATTTATGCTTCTAGATAATGGTGGGTAGTATATGATCTAGATAATAGTTCAACGACAAACGAAAAGTTACCTGCTGGAAATGGAATTTGGTATTCCTGCCTCTTCTTCACATTCCTTTACAAGATTCTCTCCACATGAGATCCCATGCGGCTGTATTTAAAAATTAAAACTCGTTTACACATAAAAAGAGGATAAATATAACTCATCATTAAAAATATCAGCAAATTATAGGCAGGAAACAAAACTAAATAATTGATCTGAAGAATAATCCTGATAATAGAGGGTTTGAGGACAGATAAACAAAGAAAGAGATAGATGACACTTGAATTGGAAGATAAACAGACATAAATTTGTGCAACCAATGTAAATGATATCAGAGGTTTCAGAAAACTTGTTTAATAGTTCTGCTGAGCATAGAAGAAAATCCCACCAGTCCTCCAGCAACAAGATGGTCGAGCATTCCTGGGTAGGTGGGTTTCGTTTCACTTCTCTTTCCAATCCATAGATATTTTTGCCCATCTCTTTCAACATAGCCATTCATGTGAACCCCATAAGCCTAGAACAAGAAATTATAGATGTGCGGGTAGGTGAACAATTAACAGTAAAAGCATCGATAATAAGGTGACTTGAACATGTGATTACATTAGACTTTGTGAATAACAAGGACAATCTTATAAAAATTAACCCAAAACCCAGCCAATAAAATAACACCAATTTGTGTGTGTCCCTTTGTCACAGACACAAAACTCAAATTCTCATACTAAGGAGCATCAACATGAAACAATATTTTTTTTAATGATTTATTCATTCAGATTCAAATTTTTCGTCAATTCCAGTATGGCAGTATCCTTTGTTCCAACCACATTTCGAATTTGTGAGATACTTTATCATAAAGCAAGTCCTTTCTATTCTGTAACATTTTAAGGAAGATATCACATACCTTTATCCCAAAGTAAGGTGCTGCTGCACGTTCTAGCGAGAAATATGTTCGTTGTCCATAAGAGGAAGTAACAGGAAATAGCTGCACTCACTTAAATTAAACCCTAAGATGAAAGAATTATGCAGGCAGCCTAATATGTTTGCAGTTATCTAGAGAACACAATTACCAATAGCCAACAGTCCAGTCATACAGGACCATTGTTCTGATAAGTAAGTACCTCATTCCGTATACCTGGAATTACTTCTTCACCTAAGCACTTCACTACATTTTCAAGGGCTTCAGTTCTATACTCTGGTGTTTTCAGCGCAGATTGTAGTGTGACATGGCCAGATTGACTTCCATATGTATTATCTTTGATGCAAGTGAAAACATCCTTAAACTTGCTTAAGTGGTTAAGAAAACTGCACCAAAGTTTAAATACCTGATTAAAACGAAATTCAATTTAGAGATCCACTTCCTCTGTTGTTGGTCAAAATAGTTGTCAGCTATTGTACTTGCCAGCAGGGGGTACTGGGTGCAGATTGCAGAAAATCATCGCAAATAACTTATTCACACCTCCATACAATTACATCTAAATTCACTCTAATATCACCTAAGATCTCAAATTGACAGCACTAAAATTTCCTAGCATCCATAGGGTCTAAGTTTCGAAAAGCTATCCTTGTACTTCACATATCATAGCTAGCCATGAAAATCTGATGTTTTTCTGGTTTCTCCAGGATACGACGAATGGGATTTATAAGTAACCCTAGATGATATCAACTACTAGCATACATCTTAAACATGCAATAGCTATCTCAAAACTCAAAATAACCCACAGTAGATAAAAAGGATGTAGGCCTTTGTTTTGGATCATGTTGATGTTAAGAAGACATGAGAGGATGGGGCACGGGTTATTGATATTTCATCACCAATTTTATCCATTATGACATATTCTTATGTAAGATTTCTCACTTCAAGTGGCATCAAGGCCAAATTTTCCTTGATGGGAAGAAAACAAAAAATCAACCTTTTAACGCGCTTTTTGAGTTGGAAAGGTAAACTACCCACTTCAACACACAAAAAAAGCTACATATTCCTTTTAAGGATAAACTGTATCATGGTGACTGTGGAGAAGAAATGTCACTTTAAACAGTTGCAACAAGACGAAATTATATCGACTCACATGATACTAAACTAGCTTGATGGACATCAGCATTTTAAACCGCTAGCAAGAACAAAGAAATCATAAAATGGATGAAGTATCCAAAACTGTTCTGATAAGAGAGACATTACCCGTTGTGAATGTAGCCAACAATTTGGTCCTCAATGACAAACGGGATGAAATCAGCACGCCTATCCTGCAATGAATTTGAATACATTATTAGGAAAGAAGGAAAATATTTAACCTTAGTATTGATAAAGTTCTTCCAACCCTGACAGTGATTTATGTTTAAGCACATGGCCTGTTTATGATGCATGTCCCAAAGGCAACATTGGTCACATGAAAACACGGCATAAACACCCTCATCATGAAAGATTGATGAAAATAGAATTATCATAGTTACAATAATTTCCTGATGATTTTGTGTTGTTAACGATGTTTCAGATTGAAAAGATACAAATGCCACAAAATACACTTGTAGCATTTATTTCATCAGCAACAGAACGGTAAGATTTAGTAATCATTGTGGTTCTTCTGCTTAAATTGAAACCTTCATCATATATTTCAGTAGCCTTTACAGTTTACACTTGACACAAAAACTAAATACTATTGGATAACAAAATGCAAGCTGTTTTGTCCCAACAACATTAATCTTACTCCCTCAAGAAATTTAAGATGCACATGTTGACTTTGGAATGACACTAACAAAACCCTACCACTACAATATTCATTTGCATTTTACACCAAAAGTTTAACAAGTCATACTCTGTGAATTCCATAAAAAAGATGTGCATATTTTACTTTTGACTTAAAATTTCGAACTTTGTACTAGGTTCGGTGGAACTATAGAAAGTTCTTATTTTCTAGACAATTCATATTAGCATTGAAGTTTAAAATCATTGAAGTCAAACTGAATATATGTTTAGGAATTCAGAACGAAGTAGAAGTACCTTTTACATATGTATAGTAGCTATGCGTATAACCATTACTATAACCGCATATACTAAATCAAATAAACTCCTCTGAACTACGATGACCACAACAGAATAAGTCTAAACGGAATGATGAAAATGCGTGTGAGATTAATGATTATAGAAAATTGTACATGTCAAAGAGTTTACCCAGCCACGGTTACATAAATTGATCTTCTGAAAGAATCCACCGAGATCCGATGAAACGTGACGCGACTCAGATATTTGAAAGACATCATCCCAAGTGAAACTGCTACTACCATCGTTTATAGAATTGTTAGTATTTCTAGTAGAACTACTTGATGATACAGCGGCAGCGGCAGCCACAGAATTGCGATTGACGGTGAAAGAATGCGATCTGATTTTGGAAATGCTTGAAATCATAATAGGAAAATTACGGCGGTGAGAACATAAGTTTCCGACACAGTAAGATGACAGATAATGGGAGTGTTGGCCGCCGGCGACGGTACAGGCGGAGGTGAACATATTTTTTACCTACTCGACGTAAAAGCTGTAATGGCTAAAAGCGGGATTGGGAACTTCCCCTCAAATTTTGTTATTTGACCTCAAGTTACGACTTGCTATAAATAGCAATAATTTGAGTTTTCAGGAGTAAAAAAAATAATTTTTATTAATTAAAAGTCTTTTAAATAGGAATGAAATACAAGTAGATAGGTACGAAAAATATTAGTTCTAATCTATCTTAAATATGTTTACCTCTATCTATATCCTTTAGACGATGGTACATTTATTCTGCAACACTCTTCCTTGTGCCGAGTCAGACGAGTGGAAAGTGCATGATTGTTGCATCGTTAAAACCTTACGCCAAAATAAAAACCCAGTAGAAAAAAATAAAATAGGATGAAGGAAATAGTACAATACACTAGTACAAAAAGTCGCATCAGCCACGGTTTTTTTCTTTATTCAAACAGTAACCATAGACCTTTAGCCACATATTTTTCTTCACTCAAACCACGTTTAAAATGTGTCACCATATCACATGAAAAACCGTAGACGTACCCTAAAAACTGCGGCCACAAAGGTGTCCATTTTTTTTTGGTGTAGGAGCATTTTTCTTATAACCATGGTCATAAACTACCTAACGTCATACAAATTCAAATTAATCATGGCCCATCCATTACATGTATTTATGCTTAAATTTATATAACCGTGGCTATTAGCTACTTTTTGATGACACAAAACAAACAGAACCATGGCAATAAACTACTTATGGCCACATAATTTGTTCTTAAGGTGGCCAATGATTACCTTATAATCACGTATATTTGTTTTAATCGTGACCATAAACTACTTACAGTCATGCAAATTTCATATTAACCGTGCCAATTTCATGACATATTGTTACGCTGAACTGTTATAACCGTAGTTGTTGATTATATTTTAGTAACATAACTAAAACCATCGCCATAAACTAGTTATCGTCACACAATTTCATTATTAACCGTTGTCAATTCATAACATTTTGTTATGTTAAATTGTTAGAAATGTGACTATTGACTAACTTTTGATCACATGAAATAATTAAAAATTGTGACGATATACTACTTATAGTCACATGAATTTTATATTAACCGTGACCAGTTTATAACAAATGGTTATGCTGAATTGTAAGAACCGTGGCTATTTGTTTGCTTTTGGTCACGAAATAACCAAAACCGTGGCCATAAACAACTTATAGCCATGCAAATTTCATATCAAATGTGGCAAATTACATATGGTTATGTTGGATTGTTAGAACTGTGGCTATTGATTTTTTTTATTAACCTGGATATCTAACCCGCTATGCGAGTCGACTAATCCCAGGTCGACCACTTGCTTTGCAGATAGCCCGGAGTAACCACATTTGAACCTCCATCGCCAAAAGGGGATTTTTATTCTTCCTTGGATTTGAACCTGAGATCTCCTGATACTTTTGACCTTTGGAGTCAAGCTCAAACCAATCAGACACCACCCTTGTGTTTGGCTATTGATTATATTACCGTCACACGAAATAACTAAAATTGTATTCATAGACTAGTTATAGCCAAACAAGTTTCATAATAACCATGGCCAATGCATAACATTTGCTTATGCTAATTTGTTAGAAACGTGACGATTGGTTACCTTTTTGTCACACAAAATAACTAAAACCATGACCATAAAGAATTTATAGCCACATAAATTTTATATTAAACATGATCAATTCGTAATATATGGTTATACTGAATTTTTAATAACCGTAGCTACTGATTACTTTCTGGTCACACAAATTAACGGTGGCTATTATCTTTTGATCATACAAAATAATTAAAACCATGGCTATAAACTCTTTACGAGCCTGTGTTAAATTTAGTCATTATAACATAACCATGGCGATAATTAATCTTCAACAATGGTTTTTATCATATGTGGCAAAATGATAAAAAAATATATAAAAATAATAATCAAATGACAAACATTAAACAATATTGATAACATATTAACAATGTATAAGTACCCCAATAACAAATGTGCCACCACTAATTGTCTAATACAATAGACTTTTACTTATTGAAGCTACTCCTTATTTATATTTATATATATATATATATATATATATGAAATTACGAATGAGTTATATAGAGATGTGAATAAACTGAAAATATGTGTATATGAAGAACGTATGTGATAATGTGATTGTCTAATGTATATAATAATAGAAATTCAACAATCATATTAAATCCAAGAAATAAAAGGATATTGGGTTCATCGGGTTGGGTTTGGCTCAAATAATAGTAACCCAATACATACGGTTTGAAAATTTTACAAGTCGATTAGACATCGGGTTGTTTCTAGTTGAGTTATTTCGTGTTGGGTTGGGTTGGATTGATCGGGTTGGTCGAGTTTTTTAGCACCCCTACTTTCATGGTATCTCGATTACTGATTTGCTCTAATGTTCTACTGATTTATCTGCTCTCATGGTAGTATTGACTAGTGATTTATCTGCCCTGATTTTGTTCTACAAATTTATCGACTATTGTCCTTTTTCGTTTTTGGTCTACCGATTTATCTCTATCGAACTCTATTGATTTTGTTCTATCAATTTCTTTTTTGTTGGCTACTAGACTGAAATTTTTCTACATCTATTGTCCATTGTTGCTTACTTTGTGTGAGTACTTGACGTTTGTTAGTACCATTATGTGATGTTGAATCTTGACTTTAGCGAGTATTGTACTATTTCACACATGCTGCTGTTTCACTTGTAGACCTTTCATGGATCTAAGAAAATACTATTATGGGATGTTGAATCTGGACTTTTGTGAGTATTAATTTGCAAAATAAATATTTTATTCAGATATTATATTATCAAACAATTGTATTTCATTCGGAACTAAATCATATATAGGGTTAAAAACTTAAAATGCTAATTTGTTGTCATTCAAACTGTCTATTCAGAACAATTACCAAACAAACATATTTAATTCTACACTATATCATACATAACTTCTTAGGCATTCTAACCACTTAACCATTATACATGAAACCATTCAACAATTGCAAAACAACCCCTAATTGATGATAAGTTAATAGTTTATAAGTGTTCATTTGAAATCTTAAAATAAAATAAATAGCATCTTAAAAATATACATGAATCATCCATATTACTATCAATTTCATTATTCTATATTTTAGAGTGAATTACATTCTTGGTCTCTATTCTATAGTTTTGGTACCTAAAATTCATAAAGTACATCAATGGTTCATTACTTTTTTTTTTTTTATTTGAAAACCTAAATCAGTCCCTTCAATTAACACTATTAGAAGATGCTCAGTTAAATGCATTATGTTGAAACTTGGTTTTTTTATCCATCTTTTTCCTCCGGCCTATCACATTCTTCCTCAATTCAAGAACCATAATCTATGTAAACCCATATTTAATAAAAAAATTAAAAATCAGAACGAATTCAAAAACAAAAACATCCAAACTTTAATCAAACATTCAAGAGCCCTAACCTAAAATTAAAAACAAATGAACCCTAACTTAAAAGAACAAATGAACCCTAACTTTAATCAGGGAGGTTAAGAACAAAGAAAATAAGGGGGATTTCACTGAGATAGAGGAAGGGAGGGGTGTTTAATTGGAAAAAGGGGAAGGACCGATTCTTCATGGAAGGGGTAAAAAATATATATATATATATATATATATATATATATATTATATTAATTTAATTAATTTTATGTATAATATATAACTTTTTATTTAAAAAACAAGAAATATGAGTAAAAAGATGCATTTGCCTCTCATCGGAGGGGTACATGACACGCTTAACAGCTACTTGAGGCATTTCTCAAGTTGTTCAGTTAGATCATAATTTATTTTCTCAGTTTTAGATTTTCCATCGAAACATTAAAGAGATCACCAGTCAGAGAGTCTAGTGCTAAACGTGTATCATTGTCAGATGGAGAAGGATTTAATACCTGAGAAGTAATAGATGATTCAGTAGAGAAAGAAGATTCAACTGGTTCATCCTTAAATTCTTTGATCTTAGCTATAAGACAAAGCTATGTTATATCTTCTTCGTGAGATGAAGATTTTGCCCAATCGTACTCTTCAGCAATAAGATCTTTTCCTTTTTGTTTTGAGTTTTTCATCTTTCGATACTTCTCATTCATCTTTAGATATTTGTCATCTTTTGAGTGCTAAGATGAGGATTTTGAGATCTTCTTGGACCTGCATTCACTTGCAAAATGCTCTTTCTTCTCACAATTATATCATATAGTTGTAGCCTTGTCAACAAGTGTTGATTTAGGCTTATCATCGGATAGCAAAAGGTTTGTTTCCATGAAAGTTTCTCTTTCTGGCGAATCTTCTAAATGAATTAGTCAGAAGTGTCAGTGACTCATCAAACTCTGAGAGATCAGCATATATTAAGTGTTCAAAGACAGAGGGTTCTAACTTAGTGACAGTTAGAGTGGAAAAAGAAGAAGAAGGAGAGCGATTCAAGGGAATATCCTCAAAAGAGATTAAAGCTACAGAAGAGCTTTTGGAATCTTTAGAATCTCTGATGAGATTTTTTTTTTAGTTGTCTGGACTGCTCATGGTTCAGCAATATTCCATAGAGAGCACTGAGAGACAAGTTCTGGAGATCTTAAGAGACCTTGAGCATATTGAATGAGCGTCCCAGAAAACATTGTCAAAGTCTCAGTGTTGGAATATTCTCTCCCAATGGTCCTAAGGTCAATTAATAAGCAGTTAAACATTTAGTGTACTTTATATTGAGATTCATTCTTACCACAAATGAACATCTCGTATTGTCTAACCATACTTATCATTCTGGTCTCTTGTACTTCAGTGGTACCTTCATATTGAACACAAAGAATATCTCACATGGTTTTGAGGTTCATCACAAAATGATATACCTCATTTAGAAGAGCCATAGCTATGACAATTCTTGCTTTGGTGTCAATACCTATTTTCTTCATATATTCGTATGTTCAGTAGAGTTGACTTA